TTAAACTTCTTTATGTTTCCACATTACTATAACAGTTTAACATGACATATATTAAATATTTCAACTTTCTCAGGAGTATAAATTCTTAACACAAGGTTTTATATCATGAATTTTAACTTGACTGTAACTAAAGATGTTTGAGCTCTAGTCAGGTTTGTGGCAAAAGAATTTCAATTAAATCATCATATATTAAGAATATCCCAAGTCAAAATCCTGATATTGTTACAACAGCGGAATTCACGTGACCCTGGTAACACGTCATGAGATTCTCGAAAAATCTTGACTTTTTCTGGCAACTCTAGTTTTTTCTAGGCGCCCTCTTTTATTGTATATAAGCCCAGCATATAAAGCAAAGATATAGAGCAGATAGAGAAATATAGAGACAGATAATTGAGTCAAGAGAGTGGTAGTGACTGTAAGTAAAGTGCGTAAATCGTTGTGAATTATAGCGTGTGTTTAAGTTAAAGTGACTGTGGAAATTCTGTGTATTGCAAAGTTGTATTGAGAAAGAAAAAAACTAGTTTTATTTAAGAAAGGACTTGTATCGCTGAAGTTCTTCGGAAAGAATTTTTATGGGAAATTAACAAACGAACAGAGACGTAACAATATGATGAATGATGTTTGATCATCATTGTATATTGAGTGATGTTCGATCATCATTACATATTGAGTGATGTTTGGGCATCATTGTATGTTATATGGGCTAGTCTTGCATAAAACCAATTTATGGTAAATATCAAGAAACAAGAAATATCAAATTCAGTACAAGTTGAATATCATTAAATCAGAATTTTTTACATATATACTCAACAATTAAATTTAATTATATTTTAGCTGTATGTAGTACACTAAACAATATCTGTGTTAGACTGTAATAAATCATAGACATCAGATTGACATAAAACTGCATAAATCACTGTGTTACAAAAACCATAATTTCAAATTGAGAAGGAAAACCACAAATAGCAGACTGACTTAAGAACCATACATATCAGACTGACTGAAAAAAACACAAATATCAGTTTGAAATAAAAACCTCACATATCAGTTTGAAATAAAAACCTCACATATCAGTTTGAAATAAAAACCTCACATATCAAATTGTTATCAGAACCATATATATTAAACTGTCATAATACCCAAATATATAAACTTGTCATAAAAGAAACATAAAATCAGACAGACATGAAAAACCATACATGACAGACTGACTTAAAAACAATACTATCAGACTGTCATAAACCACATACATACCAGATTGTTATGCGAACTATATGTATATATATATCAATTTGTATGTAAACCATAACTATAACATTGACATAAATGCAATACATTACAGATCAACATACAAAATTGACAATATATAAATACAATACATATCAGATTAGCATATAAGCCACATACATCAGATTGACATACATACAATATATCAGATTGACAAAAAACACACATCTCAGATTTATTCAATTTTTCTTTGTGCATTCTAGTCAAAAATTAGACATAAAAATACAACATTTTTAATCAACAGATTACAACAAGTCTTACCTTCAGTTCAACTCCTTCTCCACAAACCTCAAAAGATTTTTGAATAATCCCATTAACAGAAAAAGTGAGTCTGTCATTATATATTTTTTTCTCCCGAGGCTTAAAAGAAATGAGAGCTACTGCTGAACCTCCAGGAGAGAGAACAATGTTTTCAAAGTCAATGACAAAGTGGGGTATTTTCTTTTGTTGATAAGATATACTGTTGATACAGATAATAATAAATGTACAAGCTTCTAAGTTTCCACATTTTGTTTTTAAATTTACAAACCGCTATTATTACCATTTCTGAGGCCTAAACAATAAAAATAAATATGCATAGTTTGTTTTGAAAATTCCTACATCAGCTGACAATATATGTAGCTTCCTTTATAAAACCTGACCTGTTAATAAATTACTCTAATCTTGACTCATCCAAAATAATAAATAATTCACAAGTTTTACATATTCTTGAAATCATATTGTGAATAAGAGATATCTTAGAACATCATATATATGTATATAATATACACCTCACTACTACATGAAGCCTAATTTTGTTTTCTTGATTTGCCCATTGTTACTGGCAATGGGTGCAATTTGACGTCACCAGTCTATCTCAGTGACAAAGTGCAAATGATAATTTGGGCTTCACATTTATTTTTAGAATCTCTATAGATATATCTTTTTTCTCTGACAACTTTATCCAGCCAGATGGAAAATCTTAATGACAAGTTTTACAGACTTAGTGACCAAGTGGTTAATGTTACAATTTGCCTATACTGAAAATGTATTTCCGATAGGTACTTATCTCTTCTCACATAAATATCTATTCTTGTTCAGTGCTGTCTCTACTTGCAAAATTTTTTTTGCATGCCACAAGTCTTGGGAGACCACACCACTTCTGTACCAGGTATACTCCATGCCCACTGTGGAAAGAGGTGATGCAAACCTGGGTATAAAAAGGAAGGAGCAGATCCAAAAGAGAGAACAATAGTTGGACAGGGATCCGATCCACCTGATACCTGAATCTCAATCTCATAGATGACAGTAATGTGGCTGAAAGTAAAAGGGATGTGCTCTAACGTGTAGTGTAGCTAGGGCACGACAGACCGTACACAGCAAGTCAACTGCATCCAAAACACAGCCACCAGTAACCAACAGTCATGAGGATCACACTGTTGGTAAGTCAACTACAATCCAAAACCCAGCCACCAGAAACCAACAGCCATGAGGATCATACTGTTGGTAAGTCAACAACAATCAAAATCCAGCCACCAGGAATCAATATTCACGTGGGGATAGGAGAGAGTATTATAGTGGTGGCAAGTCAACTACAATCCAAAATCCAGCCATCTGATTGGGGTAGGAGAGAGTAGCATAGCAGTGGCAAGTCAAGTACAATCCAAAACCCAGCCATCTGATGGTGGTAAAAGAGAGTATCATAGTGGTGGTAAGTCAATTACACTCCAAAATCCAGCCATCTGATCGGGGTAGGAAAGAGTATCATTGTGGTGGCAAGTCAACTACAATCTAAAACCCAGCCATCTGATGGTGGTAAGAGAGAGTATCATAGTGGTGGCAAGTCAAGTGCAAATCCAAAACTCAGCCATCTGATGGGGGGTTTAAAAGAGGATCATAACATCTTCACCTTAAGTTCTGCAGACCAGAAGGAAATATCATACTCACTGATCTGTGAACAGGACACATAGCAATATGGTAAAATGTTTGACTGATCCAGGAACCCGACATCCTAATGAAAGAAATAATAAAGATGTCCCTGTATTGTGAAATATCCCATTCAAAAACAATAAGACAAGAACCACTACCAGTGCAGTATCATTCTCAGTATATAGAAATCTTCAAGGAGTAATGCAAGAAGAACTGTAGCAACCTGCATGTTCATCCACTGTGACCCACAACATGTTAGCAATAAATGTGAGACCAACTGAGAGAGGGTACAGAGTCAACAGCAATACATGTTAGGACTTATGTTGATTGATCCTGCTCTGAATCCAATACCCAGTCACTGGGAACCAACAACTATGTGGGGGATCCTAATTGCAGAGGTGAACTGCAATTTTCATGGCTCACTCAAAAGCTACCACATCTCCTTGGATAGACCCATTCAGAGATGGAGCATCAGATTGGGGGGCATCTCATCATCTACACTATCAGAACACCACTGCCATACTCTCAGCTGAATGGAATCATTATTTTTTGTATCATATATCACTATCACAATTGGGAGAATACCTCCATGGTCCACCACCCCAGTGGCTTGAAACTGGAAACTAGTAAAGACTTCTTCTGTACTCCACTGGAAGAAGAAGGGGGGAGAAAATGTGGTGGAGAGTTCGGAGGAATGTCAACACCAGATAAAGTGCAATGGGTGACCATGAAACCCTATTTTGAAATGCAGACCACTCCTGATTTATTCAATCTAAGCTATCCCCTTCTGCTTTACCCATGAAGTCCATGGGTCAGTATGGTCCCATATAAATGGGCATATTAATGAAGCAGATATATCACAAGGAAAAATTACAAGTGATCTTGAGTCTGATTGGAGTGAATATACAAGAAATTGATTATGGAAAAAAGACAAGGAAGAAAAAAATCACAAACAGAGAAGTGGTAACAGGGAAGGAAACAGCAGAAAAGGGAACCAATGGGAAGAAGCTTTGTAGGCAATGAAGCAACCCAGAGCATGTACAGGACATAGGCAATCTAGATCTGACCAGGAAGAAAAGTGGAAGGAAACAAATACAAAGAAAAAAGAAGAACTTGCCACACAAGCTACCAAAGTATAGGATAGGAAAAATCGATCCAGAACAAAAAGAAGAAATTGAGATGAAGCAACCATGAAAACCAGATCTGTTACGACCAGAAAGGAGCAAGCAGAAAGACCTGACACAGAGTGGCAAGGATGAACGAAGTCACCCAGGGAAGAAAATGAATGGAATGAGAAAATAAAGGTATAAACTGATTCCAATCCTGTCTGAAATGTAGCAACAGTCAAGTTAAGTGGATGAGTAACTGGAAAAAAAAGACATACAAATCTGAAACAAGGTCGAGGGGCAAGGCGTGAAACTGGTAATTCAACCCATGGTGAACAAACATAAGACAGTACCACAAAGGATGAAATATAGGAATGTGGACATAAGAATACGAAACTGTGACCTTGGGCATCATCAGTTCTGTGTGACAAAAAACAACATAGTAAAAATGGAAAGAACCAAGAAATGATTGGGGGCAGGACATATTGAATACAGAACACCAATCTGCATGGAGAATACATGATTAAAGGAGGAACTCTTAGATGTAGAACAAGTAAATGACGGAATGAGCCAGACATGGAACATGAATAAAGAATGCAATGGCTAGAGACAAAAGAGCAACCAAAAAAGAAAAAATGGATGTAGCAACACAGATACCCCATAGGAGACCCCCCCACAAACAAAAAGTACCTGTAGAGGAAAAGAGCCATTCCTAAGTCCCAGTTAGAATAGAAATAGAAATGCATTTGGTACAAGACAATGTCCTACCCCAGAAGATCCCAAAAGCAAAGAAGCCACATATATAGGTATAGAGCCAAAGATGGCAATTGGCTCAACATGGAGGTAAGGAGAAGGAAGGTATCACATGAAAATTCCCAATAAATATGTGGAACGCCTTGGAATGGAGGTGTATGGCAGACAATACCAGTATGAGAGGCAATAGGGGAAGACAAAGGCTGAAAAACTTGGCTAGGGATAAAAGGACAGGATTAACAGGCTCTGCCTCCCATACAGTAAATAAGCAAGAAAACAAAAAATAATCTACTTGATGGTAATCTAATGCAAAATGGATCAAAGCCTGTGAAGGAGAGGCATGTCAGCACCATCTCTCAAAAGAGAAACAAAAAGGTCCAGCATGAACAAAAATGTCTGGAAAAGGAGGAGAAAAAACTGCAGAGACCTGGAAAGGTCAAGTCATAAACAAGTGGAGAAAATTGTCAAAATATACATCGTCTTGAACAGTTTTGGCAGTTTGAGGAGGAAGGCAAGCAATATTGGGAGAGGTTGGGTGGACCCCAGCCCCATGGGTACTCCCAAACTAAATTAATGGTAAGGAGTATAAAATATAATTAATTACGAAAATGAAATAGTCGTTATATTTTTAAAATTAAGTAAGTGTATATTGACAATAAAAAATGTAGTAGGTGGTATGTGTTGAAGAAACAATAAATTTAACCAAATTTACGATTTACTACTACTAGTAAGATGAATGACAGGTAATCCTTAATTAAATAACAAACAGGTGTTAAGCCTAATCTAACGTTGTAATTTGTAACACAAATGATATCACTATACTTTAATTGAAAAAACCCTAACTGTCAAAGAAGTAGGTACAAATCTAACTAAATGTATGTTATTGAAACCAAATAACAACAAATAATAATATTAATATCAAAAATAATCAAAAAGCTATAATGGTATAACATTAACGGCTTATCTGTCCAAAATTGGGAGACGATATTCAAAATGTGTGGGCCTCCAAACTCGAGGCCGATGAAGATTAACTCATATAATGATCAATATCCCGACATATTAAAGCTGACAATTCCTCAGACAAGTCCTGCTACCTGAAGCCTTGGTAATTGTGCTTGAAGTAAATGATAACATTTTCGAAATGGAAACATAAGCTTCAGTGAAGAGCAATAAAGGTAAGTTATCACTTAAAACTGGTAAAGTGAAGTAGGAAAATATCTCCACTTCGAAATTAAAAAAAAAAAATATATGGGAAAGGAGAACAAACAAAAACTGTCTTGACAATAGCACTGCCAAACAAGAAGTGATAGTATGGTAGAATCAAATAGAAGGAGTAATATGCATCAGGAGAGTGTGTCGCACTCCTGTTGGTGGAGGGTTGTTGCATGATGATTTACATGTGAGACACAGTTGAACCACGTTGATCGTGGGATATGTGGAAGTTCAAGGCTTGTGCCATGCAAAAAAATCTTTGCATATAGAGGGCAGAACTGAACGAGAATAGCTAATTATGTGAGAAGAGGTACTGTACCATATCGGCAGTATCCCACTTGTTCACTAAATCTTTAAAACTTGTCAATAAGGCTTTCCATCTGGATGGATAAACTTTAGATGTTGGCTTTCCATCTGGCTGGATAATATATAGGATAACTTTCAGATGTTAGGATACTCTAATTATTGACAAGTTTTACAGATTTAGTGACCAAGTGGTTAAAGTATAATAACATCTAAATTTAGTCCAGCCAACTTCAAAGAAACAAAATCAAACACTTAAAGCTGCAACTGATGGACAGTCTTGAGTAGATCAATTATAGATGCTCACAATGGAAATTAGGTACTTTTAGGTCCACCAGCTGTGAATCAGTGACTATGAAAACCAAAAATAATACCCTTATATTGTGTTCTTCTAGTTTATTGTTTATTCTGTTTTTCATTCTTTGTACTGATTTATTTTCTGTTGCTTGTAATTGCATTACTTGTATTTCCTAGGTGGGGACGAAGAAAATGACTTTCCAACTTGTAGGTGAAGCTGTATTGCCGAGTGTCAATCTAAGTATGACTAGTTATGACTTTGGGCCTTGTTTTCTGTATGAGGAGTCCATAGTTGCCAAAACCATACAGTTGACAATTACAAATACCCACAACAAGAACGTCAGGTAATATACCAGTGTGTAGACATTAACATTTGTGAAAATCAACAAAGAATGAAAAACAGAATAAACAATAAACTATAAGAACACAATATCAACTAAGAATGAAAAAAGAATAAACAAAATAAACTAGAACACAATATCAACAAAGAATGAAAAACAGAATAAGCATTAAACTAGTAAAACACAGCTTTAATTTTAAGTTCAAACATACACAAACAAGAAACAATAGGATTTAATAATTTCTTGAAATAAAACAAATCAACAAGAAACTTGTGGAACATAGCAAACAGTATGACCATTACAAGTCATGAAACGATGATGAACATGGTATAGCCAGACAGTAACAGTACAGTTGTTTCAAATGATTGTAGTATAATCATAACAAATCCTGAGAAAATAAAGTACAGTGTATAGCCAGACAGAAACAGTACAATGGTGTACTTACTCTTCCCAAAGATGGTGTAGACTAACAACTGAAAGGAGTCAAAACCTCTCAGGAGATAAAACAGCCAGGCAAAAAATATAATGACAGATGAAGATGTACTGATATGTCCACATGTCAGCCTGAAGGATCTGGTCCAGGGGTTGGTGAAATTGAAAGAGAAGAGAGTCAGATAGGTGGAGAAAATGAATGTGAAGAAAAGTGAAAAAACAGTCCAAGCTAGACATAGAAGACAACGTGGAGCCAAATAAGCACAAAGGAGATAATAGAAGAGAGGGAGATTGGAGAGAAATAACTATCAGGAAGTGTTACATGTCAAGTAAGTTACTATAGTTGTGAAGCTGGAAGTGTTCCTTGTGAAGTTACTGACTAAAGTTGTGGAGCTGGAAGTGTTACATGTGAAGTTACTTACTAGAGTTGTGGGAAGTCATTAAATAGACTGAGTGAAGAGGATAGAGAGGACCTCAGCACATTTCATAAATTTCACAAAAATTTGTATTTTCACAGTTTCTAAATAACTTTAAATTATAGTTTCTTTCAAAGTCAAACAGGAAACAAAATACTATTGCACATAAATGTTCCTACCAGAATTCTAAGTTTTGATTGGTTCAGAGTGCAACAGCTTGTTGGTTGAAATGTAAGAAACAAAACAGCCTTCTGCTTAGCTGTTAGCTCTCCCTGATGCTTTTGTAGAGCCACATATCCATTTGGAACATCAAAAAGACTGCAAGAGAAAGTAGTGTCAACACAACTTCTATTCCACAGAGTGATGGTTTCTTCTGATTTTTCTCCAAGATCCACCTAAATTATATTAAGTTTACACAAAAAATTATTTATTTTATTGCATTCTTTATATTTTATGAAATACAATGTTCTAAATTATATACTACAAATGTTATTTTCTGCAAAAACTGGAACACTGTATTTCTGTTGTCTCAACTTTACATGAGATGTAGTATATTAAGTACATTACACTAGTTATTCTTAGGTAGCACAATAACAATTTTATAGTAAAACAAAGCTGAAACCTCAAGCCAATACAGTTAATGTGTCAGTAGAGAGGATTCCCATTCTATTTCTATTGTTATCTTAACTAATGTTGTTACAGTCTTTTAAAACTTGTTAATTTATACATTTTACAAATATAAAACATAATGAATTTAACAGTTACGCTTACTTTTCCAAAGTCCACAACATAACAATTTGAAGACTGAGCCACGCATGTTGATATATCCAAGTTCACTCCTTTAGCTTTAATGTTTAGGGCCAGAGGCTGAGACTTGCCTTTCACTAAGCACTGTAGGGTGTGGTTAACATACCCTTCTGATACTGGCTTGTAACCAACGAGAACAACTTTTCTGTTATGAAAAAATATTAATTTTTTTATATAATAAAAACTATCCTTACAAATTAAAACTAATTTTTCAGTTTACAAATTCATAAGTTTTAACTTTAGAAACATTATGTAAAGTTACAATACTAGAAGCATTAACTAAAATGGCAAAATGTTACTAAACCATAATCATTAATTAAAGTCAGTTATAAGACTACATTAATTAAACACACATAACTTATAAAAAAAACTACAGTCATTAATTATATTTATACTTACCTTTAAAATTACAGCCATTAGTTACACATACTCAGTTTACTTATACAACTTATATATTTTATATTTACTTACATGTGGTTAACTAAAAAAATAGATCAACCTATAAAACTAGGGGTAATTAATTAAACAACTTTAAATAACTTTTTAAAACTAAGGTTATTAATTAAAAACACTTAATCAACATATAAAAAAGGCTCCATATCATTATTTAGAAAATTTTGAGTGAATATTGTTCATTTCTGAACACAAACTAGTTTTTCAAACATTATAATTTGAAATCAAACAGACTTTAATGAATAAATTGAAGTAAAGTGCTAACATTAAATAATATATATAAAATCATAATTTAAACAAATTACTATAAATTACTAATTACACTTGAAATGATCACAGTATAATTCATAAAAATCCATTTAGAGGATTAAAACTTAAAATATATTAGCTTTCACTGGATCAGTTGGATACCCCTACAATTATCTCAGTGGCTAATTCCATGTCACTTGTTGTATGTTTCAAATATTGATGTAAAGGGATATCTAAGCTAGCCATCCCTAGTTTTAAACTGATAGACTAGGCAGCTAGATAACTCGAGGTCAAATCTTAGGTTATCCTTATCATCCAGTGACATTTGACCATCACTCTTATAATGCTTCCATGGCCTCAAAGTATGGAGAGTAGTTTTTTTTTTTGTGGAAACAGGACATGAACACCTGCAGATCCAAAATCTGGCATACTAACCACAAGGCTACACCTGGCACCACTTAAAACGGAGGATATTAGATTATATATATAGGTATCTCCAGAAGCTTTTACAAATTGGTTTAAAATATATTAAATACAGAAACATTTTTGTTCAGATACATTAAAGCACTTTCTTATGTATTTATTATTTTAGTGTAAATAGCATTTAATGAAAGTACTAACTTACTGCTCACCAGATTTTAAAACATTTATTTAATAGCATGTTTTACAAAAATCTTTTTATATTAAGCAGCTCTCTACTGCGATCTTTTGTTCACCAAGTATATTTAATTGAACACATTTTTATTGTTCTCTTATGTTGTAACAATTAAATGACTGCACTCAGAAGTGAAACTATATTGAGTTACCAGTTGTTGAAGTTGTTTAATAATAAACAGCAAGTTATGCACACACCCCCACCCCCGGACACCACCACAACAACAATGGATATTGAACTGAGATACATGTTTTCTAATGTGCACAACTTACTGAGATGAGGGAGACAAAGTGCCTTTATCTGGCTGGATTGAGATAAGACCATGTGTATACACATCTGTCATTTTCTTGGCATTGAAGTAGAAGGTTAGAGGGACATTTTCATCATTCACAAGGTTTACTGTAGCAGATACCCTTTCATCTGAAGAAAGGAAATATCTATAATATCAACAATCTCATCCATCAATGTAACAAATCACTAACAGACAAAGCTAGAATGTAACAGGAGTTCATTCATACAACAAGAACTTTAACAACACTATGATTAAAATTAAAATCTTATATAAGTTAGAATAGCTGACAGATAACCCACTGGACCATAAGTTACACAAGACATCTATACATAACTTACAAGAATATAAGATGAGTTTTAAAAAAATAAGGATGTACCAACACAGAAAATCAGTAATATACGTCCACTTGAGCATAAGTCAAGTCTCCAAAAGAATGATGTCCAACAAAATAATTTTTATTAGATTATATAATAAATTTAAAAATGATGGATGCACAGCACAGCTGTTATAATAAAGATAAACTGTGTATGACAAAACCAAACGATAATCTCTAATACCTACCAATCAGAACATAAGAAAAATCCAAAAAAGGAGGGTCAATGATAACTTTTGGCTCAGTAGTTTTACACAATATTACAAATGTGTAGTTCACAGAAAATCTTTGGATGTGACAGGTCCATAGAGTTTCCAGTGTCTCAACTGTCAGTGAGTGGTATTTAAATTGAATCTGCATCAAAAAACATATAAGCATTAGAGTAACTTCTAGGAAACAGTTACAGTTATTAAGGCATGTTAAATGAGGCTAACAACACTGAAAGCCTGACGTTTAGGAAACCTATCTATATTGTTTATATTTCAGGAATTACATTTAGTTGGATGTCACAGCATACAAGTACCACAGAAAAGTGAAATACAATTAACGAAAATTTTCATTATTATAAATTGTTTGTTATTAACCTCTAAATGATTTATTTAATATGATCATAAACATAAAAAATAAAATATGGGTATACCTTAAATTTTTTTCCTGGAGCCACAGATCCTTGGGGTGTGAGACATAAGATCTGAGGAGATTCCCCAATACTATGTTTTCTCCAACAGAATTTGAAGATTTTATTGGTCACATTGACTAAATAAAAACTTCTGAAAAATAAGATTTCTTAAAAAATTACACACTTATCATGGAAAATAATTTGTATCACAGAAATTATGGATGTTTATTAACACACTAAAACTACTGATATTTGCATGTTACTTAATAGACTTAGTCTGTGGATCAAGTTGCTCAGTATGATTTTTATGTAGTACTTATACTAAAATGATCTTCAATATGGAAATCACATGACAACCACAGTTGAAATAATATTGGAATAGAATGTATCATTGTTTGGTGTTCCTTAGATAGTGTGATGACACCAAAAATTGATAATTTTTTGGAAAGATATGTAACAGCCTTATTTTGATGCAAAACATTCATACACTAAGATCATAAAAATGTGTTCTGATTGGAGATTTAAATCTTTCAAGATGATTATCTCTCTTATACTCAATAGCATTGGAAAACAAAAGAATATGGATCAACTTGGGACAACAAGACCATCCAAGAAACTTTCAACAAGTTGTAACCCAACTGTGGAGAGCAGAACTGAGGTCTTGTAACAGATGAGAATCCATAAACACAAAGGTCAGTGGCAAAAGCCATTCATGTGCCCAAGGCAACAATTCCCAACATAATCAAGAAAGATCTCCATCTGGGAAAGTGACATAACTTGCTTCCATGACATATCAGTTCAACCATTGCATACTTTGAGTAGCTGAAGAATGAAATGGATATTCATGCTATTTCAAATAAAGACAGTGGTGAAGTTGCTGGATGCAATTTCTGTGGATTTCTTTGCAATGTCAATGTTGAAATGAACACTGGAAAACCGTTGTTTTCACACACTAGCTGGATTATGGAAAACCTGCAAGGAAGTGTATGATGGTTTGCACACAGAGTCTTTGGCAATAGAAACTATGTTGCAGAGCCATCATCAAGATGGTTGGTCAGTTGATACAGCATAATTGGATACAACAATATGGTCTGTAAAGATATGGTGAGGCTTCAAAGTCAGTTTGATTTACATACTCAACCTCTGAATCTCTCTCTCATGATTCTTACCAAACATACACCTAACATCCTTCTGAACATTCCTATTGAGAGAAACAGGAAGTAAAATGAGTGAGCCTCCCTGTCTTGGTTTTACCACATATAAATGAAGTTCTTTTATATATTTTTTATTAAAAGGAACATGAGGTAAAACAGATAAACCTTTCCATCTCGGTTTTTATCATACACAGTTGGAATCCTCTTATATATATATTATTTATGGAAAGGAACAAGAGATAGAATGGTTGAAGCTTTCTTTCTTGGTTTTTATCATACACAGCTGAAGTTCTTTTATATATATTACAAAGAGGAACATGAGGTAAAATGGTAGAACCTTTTTATCTCAGTTTTTATCATGCACTGCAGGAATCCTTTTATATTTTTACGACATCGGAAGTCACGTGATGCTGGTAATATGTAATGAGTATCTAGAAAGATCGAGGAACCTGTCGAACGTCCTAGTGTTTGCTAGACTCGCGTTCTTATAGTATATAAGCCGGCAAATAAAGTGACGGCAACAATTAGATAGCAGACAGAGAGATTGAAGATATAGAAGGACAATTGAGTCCAGCTCGGTAGTAAGTAAAGTGCGTGAATCGTTCGTTGT